GGGTTTTGAGTGAAATCCAATCGCTAGAACTATACAATACACCAACCACTCCAATTTGGAACGAAATGCGTTGGAACATGAATTGTCCAATTTCTTACTCCTATTGATATCGGATCAAGCCCAAATGTTGGGAAACATCATAATATGGTGGGAGGTGTCATTTCGTTAGTTTTGAGTGAAATCCAATCGCTAGAACTATGCAATACACCAACCATTCCAATTTGGAACGAACTGCGTTGGAACTTGAATTGTCGAATTTCTTACACCTATTGATATCGGATCGAGCCCGAATCTTGGGAAACATTATAATACGGTGGGAGGAGCCATTTGGTGAGTTTTGAGTGAAATCCAATCCCTACAACTATGCAATACACCAACCACTCCAATTTAGAACGAACTGCATTGGAACTTGAATTGTCCAATTTCTTACACCGATTGATATCGGATCGAGCCCAAATCTTGGGAAACATCATAATATGGTGGGAGGTGTCATTTCGCGGGTTTTGAGTGAAATCCAATCGCTAGAACTATGCAATACACCAACCATTCCAATTTGGAACGAACTGCGTTGGAACTTGAATTGTCGAATTTCTTACACCTATTTATATCGGATCGTGCCCAAATCTTGGGAAACAACATAATACGGTGGGAGGAGTCATTTGGTGAGTTTTGAATGAAATCCAATCGCTAGAACTATGCAATACACCAACCACTCCAATTTGAAACGAACTGCATTGGAACTTGAATTGTCCAATTTCTTACACCGATTGATATCGGATCGAGCCCAAATCTTGGGAAACAACATAATATGGTGGGAGGAGTCATTTGGGGAGTTTTGAGTGAAATCCGATCGCTAGAACTATGCAATACACCAACCACTCCAATTTGGAACGAACTGCGTTGGAACTTGAATTGTCCAATTTCTTACACCTATTGATATCGGATCGAGCCCAAAACTTGGGCAACATCATAATACGGTCGGAGGAGTCATTTGGCTAGTTTTGAGTGAAATCCAATCCCTACAACTATGCAATACACCAACCACTCCAATTTGGAACGAACTGCGTTGGAACTTGAATTGTCCAATTTCTTACACCTATTGATATCGGATCGACCCCAAAACTTGGGAAACATCATAATACGGAGGGAGGATTCATTTTGTGAGTTTTGAGTGAAATCCAATCGCTAGAACTATGCAATACACCAACCACTCCAATATGGAACGAACTGCGTTGGAACTTGAATTGTCCAATTTCTTACACCGATTGATAT